ATGTTTTTGTATGTGTTGAGTCAAATTTAGTTTTTATTCCCCCTCAAAGTTGGTGGTTTGACACTGGGTGCTTCATTCATATAACTAATTCCTTGCAGGGATTCTCAAAACAAGGGAGATAAACAATGAAGTCTACAATGTCTATGTAGGAAATGGGAGCAAAGTTGCTGTTGAATCCATAGGAAGAGTCGAGTTAGTTCTCTCGTCTGGTTTTGTTTTAGAATTGAGTCCAGTACTTTATGTACCTTCCATGAGAAGGAATTTGATTTCTGCATCTAAGTTAGCTAGGTCAGGCTTTACCTTTGTTGGTGACGATCATTGTGTAAAGTTTTATCATTCGAGTAATATTAATAAATTGCTTGGGAAAGCTTTTCTTGAAATTGATATGTGGCAACTAGACTGTTCATATAAAAATGAATGCTTTAGTGTTCAAGCTGTTGGTTCAAAATTATTGTCCACTTCTGAAAAATCCTCAATGCTTTGGCATAAAAGGTTGGGACACATATCTAAAGAAAGAATAATCACCTTGTCAAAACAAAACATGTTGCCGCAACTTGATTTTAGTGACTTCAAAGAATGTGTCGACTGTTTCAAAGGAAAACTCACCAACACTAGGAAACTAGGTTCAAATCGTAGTCAATCCCTGCTACAAATTATACATACTGACATATGTGGACCTTTTCCAAACAAAACCATTTGTGGAAAATCATATTTCATATCCTTCATTGATGATTTTTCACGTTATGCATATGTTTATCTCATCTTGGAAAAATCTGAAGCTTTGGAGTGTTTTAAATCTTTTCATTTAGAGGTTGAAAAACAACTTGAAAAACAAATTAAAATTGTGAGATCCGATAGAGGTGGTGAGTATTTTGGCAGGTACACTAAGGTTGGACAACACAAGGGGCCTTTTGCAACTTACCTTGAACAAAATGGCATCGTAGCACAATATACCACCCCGGGGACCCCTCAACAGAACGAAGTGGCAGAAAGAAGGAATCGTACTCTCAAGGATATGATAAGGTCTATGTTTGCACACTCACATCTTCCTATTTTCCTTTGGGGAGAGGCATTAAAAACAGCAACATATATCCTAAACCGAGTGCCGAGCAAGTCTGTCAACTTGGTGCCATTTGAAGCATGGACTGGAAGAAAACCGAGTTTTAACCACTTCCACGTTTGGGGATGTAAAGCCGAGGCAAGATTCTACAACCCAATGGAGAAAAAACTTGATCTAAGAACTACCAGTTGTAGGTTTTTTGGATACTCAGAAAAGTCAAAGGGGTTTAAGTTTTATTGCCCTAACAATCATTCTAGAATTATGGAGACCCACAATGCTAAGTTTCTCGAGCATTTGGATGGGGATGATGACAGCTCTTTACATGTCATATCCTCATATTTAGAAGAACTGCCACAAGAAGGCGAGTTGCTTGAGCAGCAAGCAATTGCCGTGAATATACCTTTTGAGTCTCAAGTATTCCCTCCACCTGATAGCCTCCCCGAGCAGCAAGTAGAAGGTATGATGAATGAAAACCAAATTCCTCATGATGAAGAGCAAGGTCTCGACATTGTCGATGAAGAACACGATAACATTAGTGGTCACGTAGATGGAACAATTAATGCACCGATTATGGCACCTGTTAGAAAATCACAGCGAGTACGCAAGGCTGTTACATTACCAGATTTTGTGTATCTCAATGAGACAGAGTATAATGTAGGGGATGATGATGATCCTACATCCTATCATCAAGCAATCTCGAGTACAAGATCAAAGTTATGGAATGAAGCCATGCATGAAGAATTACAGTCTATGGAAAAGAATAAAGTGTGGACCTTAGTACCAAAACCGACGGGGGTTCACAAACTCATAGGTTGCAAGTGGGTCTTTAAGACAAAGAGAGACTCCGAGGGTAATATTGACAAACATAAAGCGAGATTAGTGGCAAAAGGCTTTACACAAAGAGAAGGAGTTGATTACAATGAGACCTTTTCTCCCGTCTCAACCAAAGACTCCATGAGAATAATACTAGCCCTCACGGCACACTTTGATTTAGAGTTGCATCAAATGGACGTCAAAACAGCTTTTCTGAATGGGGATCTTGAAGAAGACATATATATGAGTCAACCACCAGGATTTGTTGAAAGGGGGAAAGAATTGATGGTTTGTAAGTTGAATAAATCTATTTACGGATTGAAACAAGCTTTGCGGCAATGGAACAAGAAGTTTGATAGTGTGATGGAGAAGTCAGGTTTTCAAGAGAATAAACTGGATGAGTGTGTGTACTTTAAAGTCTGTGGTACCAAGGTAATATTCTTGGTATTGTATGTAGACGACATAATAATGGCGAGCTCGGATATTTTTTTGTTACAGGCAACTAAGGGCATGTTAGCTCAGAACTTCGATATGAAGGACTTGGGAGAGGCACGGTTTGTTTTGGGGATAGAAATCATTAGGGATCGTGCCAAGAGATCCATTGGTCTTTCACAAAGACAATATATTGATAGGGTGACTAAAAGATTTAACATGGATAAATGTTCAAAATGAGAGCTGCCTATTGGAAAAGGAGACAAGTTGACTTGCGAGCAGTGTCCCAAGAATGACCTGGAGAAAGAATGAATGAAAGACAAACCGTATGCGTCTTTGGTAGGGAGCTTGATGTACGCACAGGTATGTACAAGACCGGATTTAGCCTTTGCAGTAAGTGTATTGGGCAGGTTTCAATCAAATCCTGGTGCATCACATTGGGTTGCAGCTAAAAAGTTTTTGAGGTATCTTAAAAGAACCAGGGATTTCATGCTGACATATAGTCATGTGGATAGACTTGAGTTGGTGGCATTTTCTGACTCTGACTTTGCAGGATGTATAGATGATAGGAGGTCAACTAATGGTTACATCTTCCTGTTAGCAAATGGGGCAGTTTCGTGGAAAAGTTCAAAGCAAAAGAGTATTGCGTCTTCCACAATGGAGGCTGAATACATGGGGTGTTATGCAGCAACTCAACAAGCCATCTGGCTTAAAAATATGATGAGGGGACTGGTGATTATTGACAATATTGAAAGGCCTCTCAAACTTTATTGTGACAATAAAGCTGCAGTCTTCTTTTTGAAGAATAATAAAAGGTCTTATGCGAGCAGGTTAATGGACATAAAGTTTCTGAAAGTGAGAGATGAAGTGAAGTAGGGGACTGTTGATATTGAGTACATCAACACGACTTTGATGGTTGCTGATCCAATGACAAAGGCCTTACCAGTGGAAGTCTTCAAGAGGCATGTTTTTAACATGGGAGTAAGAGAGTCCTTTGATTCAATTAATGAGTGGGAGTACGCACTCTAAATATTATGGTAAACTTGTCTTATTTGGTTGTTTCTTTTGATGGCAGTAGCTAGTTGTAATACAATGCAATGAATTATTATTATTGATAATCTGTGCATTTTGTCATTTCAAACTCTTTTGGTACTGGAAGTAATATTTCAGTTTGTTTTGAGGAATCAGTGTACTGTTTGTTGGTTCTCAACATCGTGATTCTGGTAGTAACATAGTGTTCCATGATAAATGTGTATGTAATTATAGAGTATCAAGTACAGGTTATTAGTACTTGGGTTTTCTATGGTTTTGCATTTTTCTTGGAATGACAAGTTACTAACTTAAGTGGTTGCAAGCTTTTGTAAACTCAATGATCATCATGATTCTTGTTATATTGAGGAATATCATTGACATTCAAGTGGGAGAATGTTAGACTACGTGTGAATGACAATGAGATAAAAACTAGGTTTCTTGAATTACACGTAAACTCATTATGCGAGTTGTGTGGTTGAAGGAATCTGAGTTCCTTGATATAATAGGAGTTGTGGAGTTTAATTATTGTGCAGCCGATTTAGCAGAAGTTCTCATCTAGTATTTACTAAGAGATAAGAGTCACGATGGGACTTGAACTTCCTTAAAGATAGAGTTTATCTTCACTATTGATAATAGGCCGGTATGTGTGGTACTCTAATAGGATAATTTGGTATATATACATATTGAAGAAGTCCCTGCTTCCACACAATAAGACTCTCGAGAACTAAACCCTATTTACTAGTAGAGATCATCACTGTGTGCTGGAAGTGGAAGACTGATTCACTTGTTCATTCAATGGCAGCAGCATCAGGTAAGTCGTTTCTGCATATTGCATGTAGAGTTAAGTGCATGGGGTTGGTGGTAGATGTAATCCTATTGCTACGTTGATCATGTTGTTGGCTTGTGTAAATTCTAACAAAAAGAAATTATATATATCATTTGTAAATTCTAACAGAATATCATTTGTAATTAAAAAAACATAATAATTCCCTATCAAATAAAAAGAAATTATATATATAAAGTGCACCACTTGAAAAATGGTCTAAATATTAATATACTAATCGTTTTGAGAAGAATTAAAATAGTAAGTCAAGATGATGCACAAAGGCTTTTTTTCTTCGTGTACGCGGCGTGGAAATTTCCAAACAGCTCAAAAATCTGTCTTTACCTTCTCCCTTCACTCGGCCCAATTTTTACTTTGCCTAATTTCAATCCATTGATTCCATCATCATCATCTGCTATATATATATATATATATATATACATATATATAATGTTTAAAACCTACGTAACTGAAAAAGATCAAAACACGCATATAGAAACCTGAACTAGTAGCTTTGAGCTGTTCCTATTAATTTATTTCGGTAGTGTTATTAGGGTTAGGGTAGAGGGAGCTCGAGAAGCAGATGCAATGGAGGATTTACCACCTGGATATAGGTTCTACCCAACAGAGGAAGAGCTGATTTCGTTTTACTTGCAGAACAAACTTGGTAGGAGGAGTGAGGACTTGAACCGAGTTCTGGACCGAATCATACCCGTTGTTTTCATTTATGAGTTTAATCCATGGGAACTCCCACGTAATTCAACATCTCTCTCTCTCTCTCTCTTTCTCTCTCTCTCTTTTTTAAAATTTTATTTAATATCTCTTCCCTAATTACTTGTAGGATTTATGCTAGCTTCGGCTTGCTTAGCAATGGAGTTTACACCAAATTATAGCCAGTGTTTGTTTTTCATTACTTTCCCTGCGACCGTGCAGTTTTAGGATAATGAATGTTATATTTGTATAGAATACTAATTTACAGCATCGGGTATATATATTGTTGATATTCAATGAATATAATATGGACATAGTTTTAACAAACAACTGTAGATTTCGCACTGGTTATTTATCAATAATCACTACCCTAACTGATTTCAATTTCCTTTTTTTTATTGGTGTATATATAAATAAAATATGATATATGAATCTAATTTGCTAGCGTAGCTTGCAATTTCATGATCTACACTTTAATTCGTTAATTAGGTTTATAATGAATTAAAATGAACTAATTAACAGAGGTTTCGGGAGAGGTGAGCCATGGAGATCCAGAGCAGTGGTTCTTTTTCATCCCAAGACAAGAGAGTGAAGCTCGAGGTGGGAGACAGAGGCGACTCACAACAACATGGTATTGGAAAGAAACAGGATCTTCGAGCATTGTTTACTCTTCCAATTCCAATTACAAACGACCCATCGGCCACAAAAGAACCATGGGTTTCTACACTGGCAGAGCTCCGCATGGAAAGAAAACCGAGTGGATGATGAATGAATACAAAGCCATCGAAGTTCATGCAGATCATAATAATCAACTATCAATGGCAGCTTCTTCATCAAACCCTAGTACAAGTACTCCTGCTCCCACGGTGAGTATACGTACTAATTAATTTCTTAGCTCAAAATTTTCCTTTTGTCAATCTTAACTCAAAATTAACATTGATGTTTTAAAACTTCTCTATTAGAGAGGCTGTCAATAAGCGTTAAGGCAAGATTCAGCTTATGCACCCACGGTGAGTATACGTACTAATTGATATTTGTTTACATGCAGTTAAGGCAAGAATTCAGCTTATGCCGAGTGTATAAGAAATCGAAATGCCTTAGGGAATTTGACAGACCACCTCAAGGGATTGAGATCACAAGAAACCCTAGCTTAAACATTCAAGCAGCTCCTGCTCAGGGTGCAAATCATCTGGATCAACATTCGACAACATCGAATAGGAACCCTCAGAATATGGGAGAAAGAACAAACTTAAGCTCACTGGAGAGTTCATCCTCAGGAGACCATGGCCTTCATTCCTCTCAACCAGAACAAAGCGGGACTTTGCTAATGGCCGTTGAAAATGAAGCTATTTGGGATTGGGACGAATTAATGGATAATTGGCTTTAAGTGGTGGACAAGGTGAATATGAATAAAATTACGCTTCCACTAATGGAATGTTTAGCTACTAGGAAAATAAATTAATGCAGGTGGAATCATTTGTAGGGTATACCCGTTCTGAGGTAAAAGTTTGTACTACAATTGGGAAAAGAAAGCCAAATTCATAACCTATCTTGATTCCTTTTGCTTAATTTGAAACAAAAATACATAGGTTCTTTGTCTAATGTGTTTTCATGTTCTTGGACTATTTTGTATAACCTTCAAAGTTTGCAGAAGTAGCTAATAGAATTTATCCCTTTTTTTACATTAATAATAGTTATGTGTTGGTAATATTAAAATGGTGAGAATTGTTATTTTTTGGAGTCCAACTGATACAAGTATATATTCACTATATTAACTTTTATATCAGGAACACAAAACTGATATTTTTTATCAGCTTTGTATATGATCAAATTCTATTTTGGAAGTAATTTTTACTTTTATGTTTTCTTCACGTACACTCTTATGTGTTTTTTAACCTTTAAATTGATTAAATGAAAAGAGAATTAAAGGACTCAAGTAAGAGAAGAAGTGCAAAGAAAGAGAAAATAAGAGAGTAAAATTCACTATCCTTTGTTTCTTCAGCAACACTCCAAACTCTTTTGCATGAGTTATTCCTACATTGATAACGGTAAGTTCATGTCTAGATATTCTGATGTGGGTCGCCCACCGATTTTCCTCCCCCGTAACAGCTAACTTGTTAACCCACTAACGCTATCACTATACTAAAAAAAGTATCAATAATATCGATGGCATGTATATATATTTGGGTAAAAAAAAAAAGTTGGGAATTGTACATGAGATATTTGAACCTACAACCCCTTCATCAACGTAGAATTTAAGAGGGGGGGGTGTATTGTATATAGAGTTTGATAGACATCGCTTGATAATTCTGGAATCTCAGTGTATTCAATGTAGACTAAAAAAAGTCATCATGTATTGAATAAATATTTTTTATGTCTTCTAAAAAGTCTACGAGTGGTATTTAATTATGACTTTTTGTAAGTCTGCAAAAATCCAGGTGTATTCAAAATTTCGTTGAATTTAAAAGATTTTAAAAAGTCATGGATTTTGATGGACTTTTAGTGCTTTTATGGTAAGTTTTTTATCATATCAAATCCAACCTCTTCCCCCAAGATTTTGATAAATTTCATTGTTTCTCAATTCTGTAATGTTAAACTCCACTATCCACCATAATGCAATGACTATTATTGTTACCACTTCTACCACTATGTCACCAACACCGTCTTACCATCGCCACCAGCACTTTCATTTTCATGAGCATCATTGCAAGCCCTACTATGACCACCACCGAAACCTCCATCAACATGGCCACCACCTCTACCACCGTCATTGACACCCCTCACCACCGCCCTCATCCCTACTCCTAACAACCCACCACCACAATTACTACTTCTACTATTACCACCACCACTAAAAGACACCAATTTTGCTGTCACCATCTTGGTGACAATCACCACATGATACTTCCACCACTATCGTTGCCACTACCACCTCATAAGGCCACTTTTCATGGTCATCTTCACAATAATAAATAGTAAAAACTTAAAAATATTAATGCTTATTAATAAAATGGTCATTAAAATGTTATGACAATCCATTAAATTCTATAAAAAAAATGTAGCATTGAACTCTCTAAATTTTATAAAAGTCAATTATTTAACTCATTTCTTTTTCACAAAGATATATCATTAAAAGTATATGAAATTTTACGGAGTTTATAATAGTCTGTAAAAGTCTACGTAAATAGCCATTTAGTACTATGGTCTAGTGGTATTCCTCTTCACTTGTAAGTGAGATGTCTTAGGTTCGGTTTTCGCCAAAAGCGAATTTGAACCACATTATTGCTAGTCATTGTGAGGCTAACCACCCCCCCCCCTCCTCCCCCTAGTATAGATAATCTCATCTATTCAAAAAAAATTATATACTTAAATATATGAAAGTCTAACACCTCAAAAAATCAACAAAAATCCATATAAATCTTAATACACTACACGTCCTAAGTATCACTAAACCATATATAAGTAGTTTGCATGCAAACTGTATTTGTTTTCTGTTATTAATTAGCACCCCAAAATAATTACAAATAATAAGTTTAGTATGACTTTTTTTGCATTGCCATTAAAAGTTATGTTTTACATGGTCCCAATATAAAAGAGATTATGCATGATTATGTTTTTCTACATTGAGGTTAATTGCAATTTCAAATGCAGACATGATGTTGATATTTTGTCCAAGTTTGTAGTTAACGTGAAATAAATGTATGCATGTTAAGAATGGTTGACATAAATTGACATGAGTATATTTCATATTTGCATCTTTTTTCTAAGGGTACTAGAAAGACCAAAATTTTAAACTAAATTTTATAAACCGTATGACGTTGTTGCTGGTAATTGGATTATTACTTAAGTGTTGATTAACATACTTATTTCCTATTGCTGACACTTCATATGGTTTGCAAATTTGGCCTAAAAAGTTGGTCCACCTAACATTACCCTTTTGCTAATCACTTATGCGATGTTTATACTTTTGTTTTTATTAAGCAACTAATTTCATTAAAAATAAAACACAGTAATACAAAGTTAGGCAAATCCAAAGACAATCTACAACACTAGAGTAGTAATGCAGCCCATTACAAAGGTAAAATAAGCAAACAAGCCCCAAAAGTGAGCCTATAACAATGCTTAGGTCGAAAATTCTAGATCTGGAAACGAGAACTAGCTTCCTCTACCAAAATAGTCACGCCACCATCGCCACCGAGAAGAATAATCAACGAACTGAAAATAGGGCTGGGCAAGCCACCCGCGTTAAAAGCGTTCTCATAATCCTACCAAATAGTGCAAATTGCACTTTAGTAGCCACCAAAACTCAAAGCATGCCTCCAACCAAAGTCTATGGAGGAAGAACTCGAAGAGCCAAATGGCCAAACTAGATGGGCAGTAGCTCATGGCTAGTAACATAAATTTGGAAAGAAAAAAAAAGGGCATGAAACTCCTATCTGCGACAAGATTTGCTAACAATTGAGACAAAACTCAAGAAAATTGAGATAAAGTTATAAAAAAAAAATAAAAAAAAAAAAAAAGAGAAAAAAACCTACCGGAAATCAAGAGGAAAAAAAATGAGACAAGAAAGATTGGGGTTAAAAAAATAAAAAAATAAAAAAATAAAAAAAAGAGGAAAAAGAGACTAAGAAAAAAGGAGATGGGGTTGCCACCGACACCGACCCCACCCAAGAGGGAGGCCCGGTGGCTGAAAATGAGATTAGTTTTGGGGGGAGGGGGTGTTGGGTTTTGACTTTTGGAAGAGAGGGAGCGGCGCATTATGGGATGTCTTTATACTAATATGATCAATAAATATAAACAATTGGATAAACCATCTAACAATACCACTAACCATATCACTAACAAAACCAAAATAAGAAAATGGGGCGTTTGGATAAAGTTAAGGATAATGCTAAGGAGATTAAATTTGTAGACAAAATTTTAGAAACTAAAGGATATCAAAGTTGATGATTGATTTATTACTTAAGCATTGATAAACGTGTTAATTCGTATGGTGACACATAATTTTTTTTGTAAATTTTATCTCTAAATTTAGTCTCTCTAATATTATTCTAAAGTCAAACCATCCTTTTTCTATCCCTCGGTTTGTTTACCACAAAAGATGTGTCAAGAGAAATATATCATAGGTCTTGGTAAGGATAAAGTTAAGGGAACTTTAATGAAAAGCTTCCGGTACTGTTCACTTTAATGAAAAACCACATTTTTACACTAAAAAGTCAATCCTGGTACTATTCACTTTACCCTTTATTTTGTCCTCATCGTTAAAACTCAAAGTTTTCAAGCTATTTTCATTAGTCTTAAAGTTAAATCATCCTTTTTATATTCCTCGTTTGTTTAACACAAAAGACGTGTGAACAGAAATATAATAATAGGACTTCGTTTTTAAACTAAATCTTCCGCATCCAAAATAAGTGTGATCTCAATAAGTAATTGACACGTATTTATTATCTTAACTTTTCTTCAAGTACGTGCGTTCCCAGGGATCCTCCAATCACATCCGTTCATCGTATATTGTGCGGCCAGTTTTTGTATGGTACTATTTATATTGAATTTTAATTATAAAAAATTTACAATGATTTCTTTTAACGCGAGTGGCTTGCCCATCCCTATTTTCCGTTCATCCTTTCGGTTCATTGATTATTCTTCTCAGTGGCGGTATCTTGGCGATGGTGGCGCTGCTATTTTGGTACAGGAAGCTGGTTCTCATTTCTAGATCTAGGGTTTTCGACATAAGCATTGTTATGGGCTCACTTTTGGGGCTTGTTTCCCTATTTAACCTTTGTAATCAGCTGCATTTCTACTCTAGTGTTGTAGATTTGCTTATCTTAACTTATCTTGACTTTTTCCGGGATCCTCCAAGTACATCCGTTTATCGTATATAATGCAGCCAGTTTTCATCAAGTACTGTTTATATTAAATTTTAAATAAAAAATTTACAATAATTTCTGACCACACGATGTACGATGAACGTATATAATTTGAAAATCTTCGAAATCTTCACAAAAATGATGCAGCGAGGATCGTCACTCAATTATGTTAACAGAAATGCATGCACATTCGTCAGCCTGGAAGAAGTCCTTTTGCAGGAAGAATATTGGTGAAGTACCCTGGATTTCTGTTAAGAATTTGGATTTGACACCTTGATATTCAACCCTCTGTATTGAAATTCAGATCCAATCAAATATTTGCCCACAAGTCAATTGGCATTATCTTAAGACAGCGCCTGAGTACTTTGACAGATTTGTAATGTGGTACGCAATGAGTTTAATCATTATGTTTGTCTGTGCTAGGTTTTTCTGAATTAAGGTATATGTCACTGAACAAAATATCCATTTTATATCCATGCGTTGGTTTCGTTGCCTAATTACCGAAAGAATTAATTTATTACAATTTTTGTTAAGAATTGATATGCACTACTGTTATGCAATTGATTAGCAAACTACCCATGGCTTGTTAGAGCAGTTTGTATGTAACTTCTAGTGTGAGATATTTCAATGTTTTCGAGATATGTACGTATCGATATATTGTATTATAATATAAGTGAA